GCAGGTACGGTTCCATCTTTTTATGCGTTTTTTGCAGCTGTGCAACGTTTTTTGAAGCCAAGACGCATATTGACGAGAGGTTGTTTGTGTGTGTGTGTGTGTGTGTGTGTGTCGTGTCTGTGTGTGTGTGTGTGTCGTGTCTGTGTGTGTGTCGTGTCTGTGTGTGTGTTTGTGTATGTGTGTCTGTGTGTGAGCTAGGCCTCTGTACCGATTTTTCATCTCGAGACCTATAAAAGCTACAGGGCTGGAACTTTGGGAACTTAATCTACATGCACGTACAGGCCCCAATCCCGAAAGGAGCACTCTTACCCGCGTGACAACCACGTGGGAGCTCGTGAAAGTTTTTTGCGGATAAGTCACTAACTCGCTAACCAGAAAAGCTAGAAAGCTGAGATTTTAAGGGGATGTTTCCCGTCCACGTAAGTCTTAATGAGCTTAAAGCCAGACTCCGAGTACGCGTTGTACCCAAGCACGGGCTCGCCAAAGTTTTTTTTCGGGTAAATTGCTAACTCGAGAGCCAGGAAAGCTAGAAAGTTGAAATTTTAAGAAGGTGTTTCCTGACAGTTCTGGCGGCCTGACTTAATTTGTTTAGCTAGAAGCATTTGCCGGAAAAATTGGTGGCGGTTGGGACAAAGATTGCCGGGAACTATGCAAAAAACGCATCTTTGCACCGGCAGTCGGTGCGTTGGTCAATTGTTTTTACTGAATGCGTTTTTTTACACGTTTTGGCACTCTTTATGCGATTTTGAAATTTTGGAAAATAGAGCAGCTTTATTTGGAATCAAAATAGCGCCCCGTAATAAATTATCGCCTTCAAACTTGCCATATTACTTCTAGCCACACGTAATGTCGCTTTTAGTTGATGTTTTTGGCCGTAGCTAAATGGCACCGAGCTCCCTTTGCCCATCCCAGCCTATCGTCTCTCTCATCCGCATTGGATTTGTTCGTCTTTACCTAATCTTCCTACAACTCCTTGAGCGTACATTCTTTGCTGTTCTGTGCATTTTGTTATTTTCGGGTAATTTTACGTTTCTTATATGTTCAACTTTTTTATGCGTTTTGTGCTGTGTAACAACAGTACAAAACGCATAATTGTCACGGGGTTGTCTGTGTATGTGTTTGTGTGTGTGTGTGTCCGCAGCAATTTGTTCACAACTTTCAACTCAGGAACCACAAAAGCTAGGAAGCTGAAAATTTAGGGGAACGTCCCCCCCCCCCCCCCCCCCCCCC